CCTTTTCCATTTGGCCAATTTTTCTTTTTAGGGCATTCTTGTCCTCATTGGCTTTTTGGACCTCTTTTGCCATTTGGATTAGGCTATTTTTTAAGGTGTTACTTTCTTCAGTATTTTTTTAGGTCTCCTTTAGCAAGCTGTTGACAAGATTTCATGATTTTCTTGCATCACTCTTAGTTTTTCCTCTACTTCTGTTACTTGCTTCTCAAAATCCTTTTTGAGCTTTTCCAAGGCCTGGGACTGATACATATTTTTCTTGGAGGCTTTGGATGTAGGAGCTTTGACTTTGTTGTCTTCTTTTGGTTGTCTGTTTTTATCTTCTTTGTTACCAAAAAAAGATTTTATGGTCTGATACTTCTTGTGAGATTTGCTCATGATCCCAGCCAGTTACTTGAATTATATAAACTCTTTGTTAAGGTAGGAGTCTGCTTCCAGTGTGGAAAATGTACTGTCCTAAGCTTCAGGGGTTTATAAAGCTGTTTTCAGAGATACTTCTAGGGACCTGTAAATTTTCAGTTCTTCCAAGGTGTTATGATAAAGGGCAAGGTGTTTACTCCTATGCTTGGCCTGTGCTGTGGTCTATGAGTGACCACAAGCACTCTTTTCTGTCTTGGAACTGTGAGGAGGATTGTCTCTGCACTGCCACTACAAGCTCCACACCACTCCTCCTCGCCCCAGGACCACTGCTGCCCAGAACTGTGACCCAGATCCAATCACAGGCAAAAAGCAAGAGGTTTCTGCCTCAGCACCAGCAAAGAGATCCCTGCGGTCCCCCTCTGGTCAGCCACTGGATTCCCCCTCAGTCTGTGGGCTAGAGGCTCAGGAGGCAGCTGCCACCCTGGGGCCAACCTCAGAGTGTTGGGGGTGGGACTGCGCTTCTCTCTTACTGCAAAAACAGAGTTTTCCCACTGGCCTTCTAAGTTGTCTTTGGTGTTTGTGGGTTGAGAAGTCTGGAAACCCCCACAGCTGCCCGCGATTCGGTCCTCAGAGGCCTGCTCCAGTTTCGCTGTGGCCTGCACACCCATGCCGAACTATGCTTCTCTCCCAGCCTGGCATGATATACCTTTCTGATCAACCATCCAGGTTGTCTTGGGCTGGAAATTTGTTTCACTCTGTGTTTTTGTGGGTTCTGCTGCTTTAGAATTTGTTTAGAGCCATTTTTTATAGGTATTTGGAGGGGTTCAAAGGAGAGCTCAAGCAAGTCACTGCTTTCACTCTGCCATCTTGGTTCTGTCACTCTGGTTTGTTAGTTTAAGTAAGATTTCATGTTGTGATTTGTGCTTATTAGTAACTGGTGGTATTTCTGAATATTTGTGTAGAATTTTGCGGTACATCTGTCAGTCAGGAAATTTAAATATTAACAGCCTTGTAATGAGATTATTTGAAAGAAGCACATGACCGTTCCGTCCAAACCAGATGCTAAAAAGGACTGTTCTCTATAGCATATCTTAAAAATTGTCATGCTGTTTATGAACGAAGAAGACATTACCTTCCAAGGCGGCCCATTCCATTTCAGGATCATCATCATTGTTTTTCCTTGCTCCACTTCTAAACTTGCCTTTCTATATAGCTTCTGCAATGGGGAACTAAGTCAGGACGGCTAATGTGTCTCCTGCCTTACCACCTCTAATCTTCTCTAGGTTAAATTTTTCTAGTTTTTTGAACCCATCTTCATTTGAAAACCATCACTTTTGTTTGCCTTTGTCTGCATGCTCTAACTCCTCAATATCTTCCATAAATTATGATGGCCGGAAGGAATCGCACATAATCTGAATGAAGTCTGATGGGGGTTAATATATAGTAATTACTATCACGTTAACCTAAGGTGGCATTTGATTTTCTTTTTTTTTATCCTTGACATATTGCAGTGTTCACTCATTGAGGTTGCATCCCAGTAAAACCCTCAGTTCTTTTTCTGGATAGGATACTGTCTACAATGTCGTAGCTTCTTCTTGGAGTCCTCGTCTAAGACTTAGGACTATTGAATTTCATTTTAATAGATTTAATTAACTCATCAGTTGTTTTGTTGATTCTCGTTATCCAGCATTTTTACCTTTTCCCTCCCAGCTTTGTTATTTCATGTCCAATAAACATAGCAGCCGTTTTTATTAGTCTTTGATAAAAATTTAAAACAGTGCAATGCTAAGCCCAGTTTCCTAGAGCAGTCTAGTATGGACTTCTCTCTAGAGAGGTACATCAGGCTATTAATGAATTCAGTCTAAGCATTCATCCACTTATTTATACTATTTTCCAGTTTATGTCTTAACCATCTTTTACACAAGAAAGGCATTAGAGATTTTATCAAAGGCTTCTTTAACAATGTACAGCCTTCCACATCTGCCTCTTAAATAATCCTATCAGTTACACTGGTGTGACCTGTGCTTTAAGAAAGCATGCTGTTTTCTTAGCGTAACTGCTTCCTTTTCTATATTCATTCATCGTCCTTTTGTAATAGATTATAAAATGTTGCCAGAAATAAAAATCAAGCTCACTATGCTCATTCATTCCATCTTTGTTAGGAATTGGGACGATATTAGCCCTTCAATCCTGAAGTATTTCTTCCGGTCTTTCATAATCACATCTGCCAGTTCTTTTAATCCTGAGGATACTGTTCGCCTGGACTAAGTTAATGTGAATTTATCCAGAGCAGCCAAGTTCTCTAAATAGTTACATATCTTATGTATCAGCTTCTTATCGGACACTTTTGTCTTGTCCTATTCTTCCAGATCTGAAGATATTTGTCTTCAACAGAAAAAAAAAATCACTTGTACTACCTCCTCATTTCTACCTTTTAAAATCTCCCTAAATCCCCTAGTTTCGTTTTTTCTACTCTCTTTACAATCTACCTTAATATAAAACACATTTGTCTGTGTGTAGGCTAGTCATTTTCCCCCAACCATGTGAGAAAATAAGTTCCTTAAAGGTAACGTCCCAGGGGATGGGTAGGGTTTAGAGCTTGTCTCTGAAACACACATGTCAGATGACCACAAGCATGATAATACTTGTACTACCTACCCCAGAGGGCTGTTGTGAGGGAAATGCTTTGTAAATCTTACTTTAAAATAGAGTGATTGTTCTACTTGGTATCCCTGGCACAGTGTGTCGCCCCTCTGGTCTTCTGGGTCCTCCTCCTACCCCGGGTGCATGGGATGACAAGCCATCCCTGCCCTTTCATCTTGAGCTCTGTGCTCCAGTGAATGCTGCGTCACTGGGCCTTCCCCAAACGTGCATTGGGAGCCCTTCCTCTTGACCGTACTGCACCACTATCAGTGGAGCATGTGAGCTGCCTGTTTACTCCCTGTGACCTGACCACTTCTCCGCAGTGATACTGCCTACAGCGTGCCAGTGCACCTTTGGGGATGGTGGTATATTGAGCCTGCCAGAAGCCCTTTGGCTTGTCTTTCGAGTGACAACCTACAACTTTAATACCTTACAAACTAGTATCTGACTACAGCACCAGAAGAACGTTGACTGTTAAGAGAGAAGCTCTGATGCCAGCTAGAAGCTTGGAGTTATTAAAAATTCTGTGATGCTACCCCTGGGCAATTGTCCAAAGGCAGTCCACCCAGCTCACCACCTCCTGTTTTATTCTGGGCAGTTCATGGCCCATCCACAGTATCTGTGGATACATTCTTGGATGTGGCCAACATGGTGGAACAGCTTTGTAAATTAACTGCCTATCAGTTGGGGCTATAGACAGTCTTCATTTTGAATGTGATAGTCACTTAATGTTTACATTTAATTTTAATTATTTCTAAGAACTGTCTCAGAATGCTGACTGAGTAGTAGCCTTGTAGAAACATTTGGCTAAAGTCTTCCTTAATCATTCATGTAGGTAGTGAGGTATGTATCACACATACATGCATGTAATATACATGCATGTGTGTATGTATGGAGTCACACGTGGTCAAATTAATCATTTGTGTTTAAGCAAGAGTCATAGAATTTTCTCCCATAATCAGACAGTCTAATATACTTCCCTTTTTTCCACCACTGTCCCCAAACTCCTGATTAATCAGTACTGTTAGTCACATGGCATTTAGATAACACTTCAAAAACTTGAAATTCTTTGTCAACTGGAACATAATTTTGTCACGTGACAATTTTAACAACATATAGCATCAGATATTTTAGGAATGGGAAGGACATTAACACATCCAGTGGAAAATAATGTCATTTCAAGAAGCAGAAGGTAATTAATTGAAATTAGGATGGTTAAGCCAGACAAATATTGACGATAAGGACCAGGCTTAGCAGTCATGAAAGCTCTAGAACAGTCAGAGGTGAGCACTTTGGGGGGGGGGTGTGTGTGGGGGTGTGTGTGTGTGTGTGTGTGTGTGTGTAGAGGTGTGTACTGCTGTCTTTAGGTTCATAGCTGCCCTCGACCCTGTAGGGCCCTCAGTCATTTGTAAGGGGTTCCTCTCGAGCAGCTATGTAGCTGGAGATTTGTTATAAATCTTAGAGTAGCCTTGCCACAGAGGTAAAGTTCTTTTTCTGTATTTTTCACTGAGTGACATGCCTTGATCCCACCACAGAGAGTAGGGTGGTACAGGGCGGGAGAAGGCTGGATTTGAAGTTGGACCAGAGTTGCTGTCCCAGCTTTTAGGCTACAACCTCTGGGACTTTATGCAAATCACTGAATGATTCTGGGCATCAGTTTCTTCATCTGGAAAACAAGGGGGTTAGACTAGATGATCTTAGGTCCTTTCCAGTACTAAATCTGATTCTAGGTAGATGGGGATGGGCTGATGGTTTAACTGGAAATGAGTGGGTTTTTTTTTTTTTAATGGTTAGAAACTTTTGACTAAAGGGGCATAAGAAATGCTATATAAATGTTTCTTAAATCAGGAGTTGTGTCTTAAGTTAATTCCCTTCAAATCAGTCTTCAATAATCTAGTGTCTATTAATACAAGTTATGGGATATAGAAGTAACCTGTAATGAAATGCTGTCACTTTCTAAACTAATAAATACTGAGAAACGGATTTATGTACATTTGCAGAAATGTTCCCCATGTTAACTGGAATCAGAGAGAGTGGTTCCCCTTCCAAAGGAAAAATGAAGGTAAGTGGATTGTAAAGGAATTCAGAATGTTAACCTGTCTTAATACTGAAAATGTAGTTTGAAGTCTCTAGTCTGTGCCTAATTAAAAACCTAGGCAACTCAAGCCCCTTTTCTTGCACAATGTACAATGTCCCTAGCTGCCCAGGGCTTCCCGGGACAGATTCAATAACAGTTTGGTATAGCAGATAGAGCTCTATATTTGGAGTCAGGAAGTCCAGGGTTCAAATCCCACCTCAAGTTGCTTACTTGTGACTTTGAGTTTAGTCAAAGGAGAGGGGTCAGTAGTGTCAGATGGTGCAAAGGGGTCAAGAAGGATGAGGATTGAGAAGAGGCTGTAGAATGATGGAGGGTTGGTAAGATCTAGTGGGGATTTTTGAAGCATTGGCAAAGACTTGTTTATGTTTGTGGACAATAAGGAAAGAGCCAGTAGGCAAAGGTGAGATTGAAGTAAGAGCCAGAAGATTGATAATGCTGAGGGCAGTCTGCTAGTGAAGAAGGTAGGGATTGGAATCCAAGAGTGAAAAGAGGTTGGCCTGGTGGAGGAAAAGGACCACCTCTCCAGAGCCCTAGAGTAGAAGAGAAGGAAAGGAGAGTGAAAGACTGGATTTTCTCTTTGTGTAAGGTAAGAGGCCTGAGAAGAGTCTGTTGAAACAGTCACTGAGGTGAGTGGGACAGAGAGTGAGGTGGGAGTAGAAAGAGCGCTTTGAGGCATTGAGGGCCCAGTTCTGATCAGGTGACCCAAATTTGTATGGACCCAGTTAACAAGGCCACATGCTTTCCTTCAGCTCCATTCAGCATCACGTGCTATCAGGAACACAGGACGTAGGTGGGAGTAATGCCGAGTCGTGGTTTGGCAAAGCATGAGCAGCTAGAGGACATAGGAGCAAGGGATTGGGCAGAGGAGAGGAAAATGTGGTACAGGTGAACTGGTGCACTGAAGGCTCAAGATGGGGAGGAGAGTAAAACTATAGAAGACCAGTAATACAATCGCTTGGAAAAATACTGAGCCTTAAGGAATTGGAAGTAGTCTGTGGATACAGGTGTGGGGGAATACTTCTGAGTGAAGTGGTATAGATGACTAGGTCATGGGAGCCGAGTATGAATATAATTACGTATAAATGTGTGGTCTTGGTGGTGGTGTTTTTAATTAGAAGATATATCTCTGAAAGTGACCTTTTCAGAGAGGTTATGTGTTTTTTTCTAATGAAGCTTCCATGGCTCAAAACTTTTGGGATTTTATCTTGAGAGTCTATGAGACATCTTTTAGTTATCCTCAGTGAAAGAAGTCTTATTTTTAAAATATCCACAGTTAAACCTCCTAAATAACGTGGATGGTTAAGCTGGACAAAACTTTTTGTTGTCCTAAGCAATGAAATTGGCAGGGTTGAGGGTGGGGGTGGGAAGGAAGAAGTATGTGTGGAACTTTAGCAGCCTTGAAAGGTAGTCCTTCAAATAAATTTGTACATGATTTTCCTTAGGGACATAAAGGATTCATTTGAAAACACACAATCTGGTTTATTTGTTAATGGATGCATTTTTATCTTGCATCAATGTAATTTTTCATAAGCGATAACCAAAAATTAATATTTATGATGGAATTTGTGCATATGTATTTTATACTATATACATATGTTTTTACACATATGTCTGTACTCTTAATAGATTTGATTATAACTTGTAGTCTCACGTGAGAAGAAAGCTTAAATAGCATTTAATCATTTAAATTGTTCTCTAGCAAATATTCTTCTCTGAGAAGGGATTATTTTTCTAATACTATTCTTGGTTTTCAGACTTTGTCTTCCTGTAGGATGTCAAATCAAGATCTGTTAGCTCTTAAGAATCTCCAAGAACCTCAACAATTACAGACTTTGCAAAGCCTTCCATCAGCACAAATTAGCATTCTCTCTCAAGTAAGAATTAAAAAGTAAAATGTCATTTGAGAAATTGTGAATAGTAAGTTTATATGCATATTAAAAGATTAAATTATGTTAAAATTACTACTGATTAAATGATAGTAACAATAATGTTATCAAGAAAACTTTATTCATTGGGGGTTTTTTGTTTTTTCACCTCTCCTTTGATTTTTTGGTATTTCTGTTTTGATTAATTTGCTGGGTTTTAATTTTTTTTTTTAGTGTCATATCCAATTTGTTGATCTCTCTCTTTTTTCACTCTGATAAAACATTTAGAGAGATAAATTTTCCCTTAAGTACCTCTTTGGCTGCATTACAAAAAATTTGGTATATTGTCTGATTATTGTCATTTTCGTTACTGAAATTGCTGCTTTGATTTGTTCTTTAACCCATCCATTCTTTAGCATTAAGTTACAGGTGGCCCTGTGGATAGAGTGCTGGGCCTAAATTTAAGAAGGCTCATCTTCGTGAGTTCAGATCTGGCCTCAGACACTTACTAGATGTGTGACCCTGGGCACGTCACCTAACCCTGTTTGCCTCAGCTTTTCACCTATAAAATGAGATGGAAAAGGAAATGGCAAGCCAGTATCTGCCAAGAAAACCCCAAATGGGTCATGAAGAATCAGACATGACTGAATGATTAAACAATTTAATCTCCAGTTAATTGTGGTCTTTAAAAGATGTATTTAATATTTTTAACTTGTCTGCTTTTGTTTGTGAGGTTTTATGCCCTTCATACACGGACAGTTTTTGTTCAGGTGCCACGCCCTCTTTATTCCTATCCCATATTCTCCAGAGGTTTTGTTGTTGTTCACTTATCCAGGTCTGAGAGGGGGTAAAGTGAGGTACCCTGCTTTGATAGTTTTATTGTCTGTTTGTCCCTGTAAACTGATTTAACTTTTCATCAAAGAATTTTTTAGATGCTCTGTTATTTCACGTGCATGTGTTTAGTATTGCGATCAATTAGGGGGAAAGGTCTTTTATTCCTATGTGTGGTACTAACATTATTCTCAATTTTTAGGTCTTCCTGAAATTGTGTCCCTGGGAGATGTTACTTCTGTGCTGCAGAATGCCCCGAATGTCCTCACTTTTGAGCCCATCAATCCCATTCTCATTGTTTCAGAGGTAACTCTTTTTACTGTACCAAGTAGGGCTTGGACTTTCAGAAGACTGGTTCTAAAAGTGTCTGTCTAATCCATTTTGTCAGATTGATCTTTGAGTTGGCTTTGAATGGACCAGAAAGTCTGTAGAAATGAGTAATTGTAGTTCCACTTGGCTACATTTAGGATCATGAGTTGTCTTTCTAAATATTATTTCTCAGAAGGACAGACAGTGGGTGGGGCCTGATGGGAAGCACCCAAGAGTGGGATCCCGAGGCCGGGCTTCTAGGCCATCTGGGCAGCCTTTGGCTTATCTCTGATCCTCACCTGCAAGAGGAGGGCAGGGGGAGATGATTTCTAAGACTGCTCTACTCTTTGCTCTTTTGAAAATTAAAATAGGCGTTTTGTTGTAGGATTTTAATAGGCTGCCTTTAAAAAAAAGATGTTAACATTGTGTAGTAAGATCACAGGTTTAGAAATGGAAGACTTCACCTTCAAGGTTTAGTCCAGCGCCTGGTTTTGCACTAGAATGCCCAGGCCTTTGTAAAGTGGCTTGCCCAAGGCTGCCTAGGTTTTAAATTCAAGACCCACTCTTTTTGTTTCATCTGTGTTTTATCACCCTCATTTCTGAAAGTATAACAAAAGTATTTGGTATATCTGTGTACTCACTTAGTAGTCTTGACTAGCTAGCTGCTAGCAGAGCCATAATTTCATACACTATGCTGATGTGATCAGTCACGGTCTTCAGTTCCATTGAATATAATTGTGAAATTTGGGATTAAACTGGAACCTAAAATTAGATACTGAAATTAAAAGACAGTAAAAGCATTTACTGGGAGAGACTGGCACCACACAACATTATTTCCTATCAGAGCTGAGGGTGTTTGTTTTTTTAAAAAATCTTTGAATAATGAAAATGATTTGAGAAACTGAGTTGTGACCGAGTTCCACAGTCTAGTATGATCCAGTTGTTTGATTCAGAACATCACTGAACTACCTTGGGGTATGTTTTTTTTCCCCCAGAATACTTCATTAAGTGGTGACAAAAAAGATAAGGCCATGTCTGTAGCAAGTGCTGGAAAATCAGCCCCCCTTCTAAATACGATGTGGGAAGGAATTGACTCTAAGCCTGTGAAAAAAGTGGAAAGTGAGTGTGAATAGCCATGATTTGAGCCTGGGTCCTCCGACTCCAAATTAAGTGTTTGTTCTGCAGTGCCACCATGTCCAAATCTGAAACCTACCTTTGCGTTTTTTGTAGGGAAGCCCGGACAGCCCATCACTAACATACTGCATCCTACCAGCAAGGGCACGGGTGTGCTAGAGCCTGAACTTCCCACTCCTGTGAAGAAGGTAAGAGTATCTATTTCTGTTTGGCTCTTCTTTTGGGGGAAGTTTATACAGGGACTACATATTAAATGTCCAAAGGATAGTGAGGTTGTCTTTGAGAGCTTTCTGTGGACATTTTCTGTTTGGTCATGTGTGTACTCGGCCTCAAACGTCTTAACTATTTGAAGTGCCTTTAACAGGTCTTATGCATTTCTGGTTACCTGGTTTTTCCTAAATTTGCCTATCAGTTATGCTGTTTTTAGATTTCACAATAATGCAGCTTTTGTGTATGAAATACATTTCATGAAATATGAATGTGAAGATAACATTTGTATACTGTTGTATTTTCCCCACTGCTTTGCATTAGCGGTTCCTAGCACTTAATCCTACTATTTTCTTTGAAAACATAGCCCCGATCCATTTGATTCTTCCATTTAACCTTATCCTTAAAGTTGTTTTCTTCAGGCAATGCTGCTGTTAGCTGAACTTGACCCAACAGTCAGATGTCCTAGGGCTTAGAGTTGGAAAGTTCTCCAGCCCCCTCTTTTTACAGCTGAGGGGAAGTGTCTTGTCCAGAGTTCCAGAGCGCCAGCAGCAGCAGCAGAATTCACACCCAGGTCCCCCCTCAGGCTCCCCCGCACATGCTTTGTGGTACTTAACCTCATTTCATGCTACCAGATGATCGGGGGTTTAGAACAGTTGTTTATAACAGCATGGTGGCATTCCTCCAATATTTGTTGGCTACTGATTGACCACATAGGCCCTTCTCTACTTCTTACTTGACCTAACGAGCTGTTTATCATGTTGACTAACCCAGCAAGGACTTTTATGATGTAGAGTTAGTTCTTAGGAAGGAAAGAAACATGAGCCACTCGATGTGCAAATCTGATACAGCTAAGTGACTGTGCACACAGCAAAGTGAAGTCGATTGAGTTACTTTGAACAGTAGAATCCAACATTTTTTACTAATGTTAGCGAATTTAATCCTGACCTGCTGACTCTGGTTCATATCCTGCCACTGTCTAATTGGTCAGAGCCTTAGGCAAGGAGGGTGTGATCCGAATTGCCTGAGGGGGCTTCCTCCCTGGGGACTCCCGTACCCAGACATAGGGGGTCTAGTCTAAACCTTGTCCTCTATTCCCATCCCCTTCACCCTCACCCACACCCACAAACAAAACCCAACAATCCATAACCTCGATATGTAACAAGTTTTTAAAAATGAACTCTTCTTTTAATCTGTCTGATTCTTCAATCAAACTTCTACCTGAGTGAAAACTGTTCCAAATTGGAAATGTAAATATTTGTCCTAAATATCACTGAGAAGCAGGAAATGGAGATTGGTGGGCATTTTTATTGACTGAGCTCTTCTTCTTTTATTGTGATGTGGAATAGTCTCTTTTGTTGTGGGAACTGGCATTTCTTTTGAGGACTGTATCTATTAAGGGGGAAAGTGTCTGTAAATGTTTCTGTTGATCATACATCTAAGCTGTCCGACCCTTACCTTGAGATACAGGATGCAAAGATTGTTTTTTTTTTTTCCTCCAGTGAATGCCTTTCTTTCTCATCTTGGGTGTATTAACAATTAAATATTTCTTTTAGGATATAAAGATCAGGAATGTGGACTGTTGGACAAATTTGGGCAAAACAGTCACAAGTACAGTGCTACCAAAATCGTCAGATGGTGTCTTTGGGCAGTTCAGAAAAGCAGCCATAGAAAAGGAAGTGCAGACCCGAACACAGGAGCTGATGAGGAAGCCGCTGGATCAGAAGCCAGAGGAATCAGAAAGCCGCCCAGAGCAGACGTATGAGACTCATGAGATTAAGTTAGGGCAGTGGTTTGAAATGTACCCGATAGGCTTTGCTTCAGCCTTTTTATTCACGTTATAGTCTGAACAGATACCCTGTATTTTAATCATATGAGGGCTCTTCAAAAGTAATAACCTTGGGGGTAGCTAGGGGGCACAGTGGATAGAGCACTGGCCCCGGATTCAGGAGGACCTGGTTCAAATCCGGCCTGAGACCATAACACTTAACTAGCTGGGTGACCCTGGGCAAATTGCCCCCCCCAAAAGTTATAACTTGGAATGGATCAGATTTCTTTCTCAGTTGAACATTAATTGCCTACTCTGTGCTGGGCAGGGCAGGTAGGTGGCTCCATAGTGCGTGGAGTGCCCAGCTTGGAGTCAGGAAGATCCATGTTCAAATGTGGCCTCAGAGACTTACTAGCTGGGTGGGGCAAGTCACTTACCCCTGTTTGCCTCAGTTTTCTCATCTGTAAAATGAGCTGGAGAAGGAACTGGCAAACCACTGCAGTATCTTTGCTGAGAAAACCCCAAATGGGAGTCACAAAGAGGTGGACACGTCTGAACAAGTGTGCACGATGTGTGCAAGGCTAGGTGCTGGGCATATGAAGATAGTACATCAGAGCCTCAGCTGTTACGGAGCATAGATGTATGTGGGGGAACCAGAGATGTTTCTGAATGAGGATGGGGAGAATGCTGACAACAAGAGGGTCATCTGAATTCAGTCTTAAGGAGGTCAGGGGCTTGTGCCAAGGCACAGAGTTGGAATGTCAGCTCGGTTAATAATAGCACAGGGGCCAGTTTGGCTCGGTGATTCATAGGCACGTGTACTGTCCTCAGAATTCTGAATAACTCATATTTTTAGCCCTTTACGGATGTCTCGTCATTTTGACCTAGTGTTTCTCATTTGGAATTGGTACTTTGATGGAATCGAGAGCCCCCCTTTTTTTGAGGCGTTAGTCTCCCCTTGTGTCCATTGTGTGTCTGCAGTGGTGGATTTAACGCCAACACTTAGAGCCTTCACGTCGCTACTGTAAGGAGGACACATGGGTCTTATTTGGGAACCACTGTTCCACATGCTTTTGTTCTCAAGCTCTCATAGCTTTTTCTGAAGAATAGAATACAGTGGAGTTGTGGGTACACATACACACACACTTTTTTTTTTTAATAAAAATCACTGTGGTTTTGCAGTGTTGAGTTTGCAAAATAATACCTTATGTCTTAAAGTAACACAGCTTAGTAGACCTTTTTTTTTGTTTGTTTATGAGGCACTTGGGGTTAAGTGACTTGCCCAGAGTCACACAGCTAGTGAGTGCTATATGTCTGAGGCCAGATTTGAACTCGAGTCCTCCTGGTGCTCTATCCACTCCACCACCTAGCTGCCCCATTAGTAGCTCTTTTATAGGCTTTAAATATATTAGCCAGGCAGTAAGGCCCTTGCAAAGCTTTTAATATTTTCTGATGAAACAAAACTGTGGTTTTTAAAGGGATTTTGACAAGAATGCAAATAAAATTCAAGATGAATGTTATCCTGAAACACAAAAGCCCCCTCAGGCGCCATTGGAAGTTCAGGAAGATTGTTGGCTCATCAAAGATCGGAATTTGGCAAGAAAGAGAGAGCAAGAGCGCAGGAGGAGGGAAGCCGTAAGTAAACCTTCGCAGCCCACTGTCCCTGGGCTTCTGTTGGAGACCCTAAGTTACTGCTCTCCCTGCCTTCCTCTGGCTCCCACCTTGCTTTGCTGTGTTGGAATGGCTGAGTCGTCTGTGTGGGTATGAAAACGTGTTCGCCGTGCTCTGCCTTTCCAGCTTCCCTCACTGTATCCGTTTTCTTCTTTATCTTCCCCGGGTCTCATTTCTGGCAGAACCACGTTTCAGTGCGTTTGCTTTGGTTGTTTGACCGAGGTCTCTCAGGCAGTGTGCCAGCGTACCCAAAGTGAAAGTGGCGGTGCAGATGCTCCACAGAGGGTTGTTGGGGGCCAGGGGGATAGCTACCCTTCTGCTTCAACAGAAGGTTTTATAGTTTAATAACATGAAGATCAGCCGAGGTATCCAGAACATTTGGTGTACTAGAGAAGACTCAAGAGTGGTCACACTCAGGCATTTGTGGGGCACGCCACCTGGAAGAAGGGCTTTTCATTGGACCTCGGGGAGCACTGGGTGATCCTCAAAAAGGGACGTTTTAGGGGAATGGGGGAGGTCAGGAGTCTCCAGACTAGATTGGAGCACGTGCCTAATCCAGGACAGGTCCCTTCTCCTGCCAAGGCGGCTTTATTCTCTCTTGGAGCTTTCCGGCTTGTAGTCACTGCCAGCCAGTGAGATCCCCAAGTCCATGTCACCTCATTCTGGGTATCGTCTTCACTGTCTATCAGCTGTTTTCTTGACTATTTAGAGAGTATTGTGGCTCTGGATATTTGAGGTGGATGTTTTCAGACTTGAAGATTTGATCCTCCTTCAAATGTTGGAAAGTCTTATCTCTGCATTACTTGGGTGATTTTAATAACCATACTCAGTTATACAGGGCAATGCTTACGTGCCACCTGCACTGTTCTAAGCTCAACCATTGTCTTCACGTGGCTAGAGGAATCCTCATCTACCAGATGCTTCCTTGTGATTTCCTGCTTACCTCAGGAGCTTCTTTACAGAACAAGCATCTGATCTTTATAAAACCCATTTGAACAGCAAAAAAAAAAAAAGCACATTTTGTTAAAAGTAACAGTGTTTTCTTCCTATGTGCAAAGGCGAGTAAAAATTTAATCTAGTATCTTAACTGCTCAGAAAAGGAAGGTTGCACTAATAAATTGCTCCTGGTAAAACGGAAAGGACGAAAGTTTTATGACAGTTATCTCGGAATGGATTAAAATTTTCTTGTGCTAAAATGACTACTTGCATGCTAGTTCTCAACATCTGTTTCATTTCTCTTCCTTTTTCCACAGATGGCCAGCACCATCGATATGAATCTGCAAAGCGACATCATGATGACCTTTGAGGAGAACCTTGATTAAGTTTGACACTCTGAATTAGTTGGTTGTTGGTTCATTCGATGAAGCTCTGGACATAAAGGGAGGCAACTTTAACATAAATCCCAGTGTGGGGGGTGAAAGCAGGCGTTTCACCCCCGCTTGTCAGTTATATTGGGTTCTGATTCGTGGTGACTAAAATTTTGAACTATTTTCTTTAACATCTGGTTTGTTTTATATAGCCAGTGTTTTTTATATAAGCTATATTTCCAAGGAATTTCATAATTTTGTAATCCTAATTGCCTAATTGTGGGTGTTTATTGAATAGTCTTGTGAAATATTAGGAGGCCTATGTAGAAATATTCGAGACTTTAGTGTTTCTTTCTAATTTTTACCTTTTTTTAAATCAACCATTTATTTGCCTTTGAAAATGAGCACTTACCTTAACAGATAAATTGCATCAGTTGGGAGAATGTGAGGCATTCTCCTAAACCAGGGCTGGGAACCTGAAGCCTGGAGGCCACATGTGATCTTCTAGGTCCTTGGGTGCGGCCTTTTGACTGAGTCCAAGTTTTACAGAGTAAATCCTTTTCTTAAGGGGCTTTGTTCTGTGAAGTTTGGATCCAGTAAAAGGGCTGCACTTGAGGTAGAGGGCCACACGTGGTCTCTAAGCCAGGTTCCCCACCCCTGTCCTAAAGTGTGAACACTTCTTTTTGGGCTTTGTGGTCTTAGTGCTTTAAGCTTGAACAAAACACTTCCTTTTGAAGTCTTTTGTAAATACCTCAGTAGTAAATAAATGCTCATTGGGAGCCTCCATATGACACCCTTGGGCCTGGCTCAGACGTGTGTTCTCAACTTTGTAGCCAACCCCGTAGCGCTTCAAGATGGACCATCTGGACTCTAGCATACTTGATGGCTTTTTCAGACAGAACATTTTAAGAGTTTATTTTATCCTAATTATTTTCTAAAAGTGAGAGGGAGTTAAGTCAGCCTGCTTTTGTCATGCTGATAGTCCAGAAGACCCTGGGTTGCCCGCACAGCAAAACTTTGGTAGTGCTTCTGCCTCCCCATTTTTCATTCTGAAATTTGAATGACATGTCTAATCATCTAGTGATCTAATGAGATTAGATCAATAAAGCACTTAGCACAGTGCCTGGCACATAGTAAGCACTATAGAAATATTAGGTGTTATTCCTATCATCTAACATTAAAAACTCTAAACTCTCTAGTTTTGTTCTTTTATCTAAATACCAGGTAGAAAGTTCTTGTATACCTTTAAAATTTAATAACTTGAGATATCCACGATAGAAGCTGAAATGTAAGGATTGGAACCATACAGCTTGGCTTTTTAGCCTTCAGTATAACTGGACACATTTTTTCAGGCCACTGTTTTAGTTTCTACTCAATGATTTAATGACTTAGCTTTTAAAAAATTAATTGCATGAAAGTAACCTGCAGTCAACACTAATATGTAAAATAATCCACAAGTAAGAAAAATAAAAGTTAACTCACAGTTAACACTACTTCATAAATTGCTTGGAGAATTTACCTTTATGTTCACCAGTGTACTTCTATCGTGTATATCTGAAGTTACTAAAGTTTAAAGTTGTATAAAGACTTTATAACCACTCTATGTTTACTGCCATTTCCTAATAATTATTAAGCATAGATACATCTCTATACCTCTATCAGTACACACTGCTTCAATACATTACAAGAATCTGTGATGTTCTTATTCTGGTTACTCCTTCCCCAGAATTCTTGAGGGTCAGTGGTCCATGAGGAACTATTATCTGGTCATAAGCCTATCCACATTTCACTAGGCTGGTTTTCATTTAAACGATAACCTACACTCAAAGTGTTGTTAGCTTGGTCTGTTGTACCAGCGTTTATAGTCTCCTCACATAGCTTTCAAGAACCCAGGGTCACCTCCACAGGTACATGACAAAGCCAAGATGTCACCGTGGCTTTTAATAAAGGATTGGTATGTTATGAAGAGCCTATGATCACTTCAACAGCTTTCCTTTGTGTAATGGAGTCACAATTTAGTCAATACAAATGCGGAACACAAGAGTAAAGGTGTTAACATTATTAGGAGTGGTGCCTGTGCAGAGCACTACACCTAGTTCTACAGAGCCAAAAAAAAAAATTGGCATGATCATCAGTAGCATCCTGGTTGTAAAATGTGTGAAGTATGCCATCCCTCAGACATGTTCCTAAAAAGCTATGCATAAATGAGCAAGGAGTTTTTCTGTTGACCTAATTTTGAAAGTACATTCAAAGTTTTGGTCTTAATGAACAATAAACATTGAATTCAAGAATTCAAATACTCATTTCAAAAACACAAGGTTCCTTTGTTATTGTATATAATTATCTATATACACGCACCCCAGATGTTAATACAACCTTGACGGTCTGCTTCATCTTTACATGTTTTATAATCACAACTCCAATTGATTACTATGTCTTGATATACAAATTATGATGAAATGTGATGGGGAGACTGAGATTATGTGGGGACCTTCCAATATTGTGCTCTTTCTCCAGATTATCAAGTCAACTGTTAACAAATATTAAACACCAACTAGGTTCCAGGTCCTAGGAGAGCACATCATTGTTACTGATCAGTTTTCAAATAGATGGGTAATATTACTCAAATATTACCCTCATCTGGGTAGGGGAGAGTTTTGGGGGGCAGGGGGAGTGTTGCATTTTTTTTCTTGATGCCCAGGTTCTAATCTAAGGGAAACAAGAACCAACTTACATCAGTTAAGGCCAGGGTAGACTGCTCCAGTTGGTGACCTAGTGTGTCATGGAGATGCTCATGACCAATAGAATAATAAAGATGTTTTGTTTCCCTTGGATCATGGAACCTACAGAAGCAATTATTAATATAAAAATAGCCCTCCGTGTTTGTACTGTACTACTCTGACAGCAGTTATATTAGAAAAATTCCAATCTATGGGAAACTGGAGAGGAGGAAGGTGGACTTTCTTTAAGAACAGACTTCCTCTGAAAGCTGTCCACCCAGTTATGAGAAGAATAATCTTCCCCCGTGAGCTCGTAGGAAAATGAGTGTTCTTTGAGGGGAGAAAACTATATGGGGGGGTGGCTTTTGAGGATACAGTGGAAAATTTTTTTTAAAAGTCAGTACCATATTACTTTCCTAATGGGAAGGAGTTGTACTAGGTGATCTCCAAAGCCCTTTTTTGGGTGCAGCATTCCAACTTCCAAATGTCCTGTATTTCTGTACCCTTGTGGTCAGGGTGGATGTGAGGATCTAATTAAGATGCCTGAGGCACTCAAGTTAACAGATTCATAAAACGCTTTGCATTTTGTCCTTACCTGAACTAGTAATCAATGTATTCAGAACTCCCTAAAACTGGCCCAAGCAGCAAAACTCCCTGAAAATTGAAATAGACCAAATAGAAGCCAATCCTATCATTGTGTCAGAGAGTCCTGGAGGGAGTCGAATTAGAAGGCCTGGGAGTGGTTCTGTTAAGTCTTGAGCTTAGAAGGATGAAGAGAACTATACTAAGGGAAAGGGAAGGGGTATTGGAAGAGCAAGGAAGGTTAGGAAAAATTGTCTCAATCCGCATGGAAATAGAAGTCTGTACAAAGAAGGAAGGAATGGGGGTGGGGGGAGTTGCCAGCACTGAATGGTACCTGGTGCATTATCCTGAACAAAATGATTAAGGGCTTGGTTTCAGGGAAACCTGAGACAACTTGTATGGGCTAATGCAGGTTGAAGCAAACAGCCAGGAGAACAATTCACAGTGACGATTACGAGCACTTTGACTTAAGAATTCTGATAAACTCAAGAGCTAACCAGGATTCCAGGAGGTTCCTGCTAAATATGCTCTCCACTTCCTAATGGGGAAAGGCTCGAGTGCAGAGTGTGTGTGTGTGCACGTGCCATTTGGATGTGACCAATGCAGAAATTTGTTTTGCCTAATTATACATGTTTTTACATTTTAAAAAAAATTGTTGGAAATAGGGTGAGGGGGATGGAATGTAGGTTTTTCAATCCCTAAAGTCAATTGTCATTTCCTTTTACCCAGCTAAAATTACCACCACTAGGTGGTAAAGTGGGTAGAGCAGGAGGTCTGGAATCTGGAAGACCCAAGGTCAAATGAGGCCTCAGACACTTACTAGTGATGTAACCCTGAGCGAGTCGCTTAACCTCTGTCTCAGTTTCCTCAACTATGAAATGGATGTGATAATGCCTACATCTCCCAGAATTGTGGAGGGGATCAAATGAGATGCTTAACACAAAGGCTAGTGTATGGTAGGTGTTTAATACAGTGTGTGTGTGTGTGTGTGTGTGTGTGTGTGTGTGGAGAGAGGGAGGAAAGCACTGGAAACAGAGTGGGTGCTCATCGGTTGAAGAATGATTGAATAACAGCATGTGAACCTAATGGGATATTGCTCATAAGAAATATTAGATGGGTTTGGGTTTAGAGAAAGCTGAGAAGCCATGAACAGATACTGGATGAAATAACAAAGAACAGGTTGTGTATGATAACTACAATATTGCAAGGAGCACAACTTTGGAAGACTTAAGAACTCTGATCAATTGTTTTTTGTTATTCAGTGGTGTCTGTGACCCCTGTGGACTTTGTCCATGAGATTTCTTTGGCAAAGATACTGGAGTGGTTTGCCATTTCCTTCTCTGTGTGTCCCCATTTTACAAACGAACTGGGGCAAATAGGGGTTAATTAACTTGCCAGGGCCACACAGTAGGTATCTGAGGCTGGATTTGAACTCAGATCTTCCAGACTCCCAGGTCAAATGCTCTGTCCACTGTACTACCTAGCCCTCCACCCCTGGATCAACTCAACGATGAACCACAATTCCAGAAGACCCATAATGAAGCATGCATGCTTGCCACCTTGGCTTATGGATGGAATGTAGGAGCAGAATGAGACATGCGTTTTCAGAAAAAGACTGAATTTGTTTTGTTTGATTCTACTTCTCTATTTCAAGGAAAGACTTCAATTGTGGGTGGAGAGAATGCCAGAAGGGGAGTGATAGTGATTTGGGGGGGGAAAAATGCATCAATGAAATATACATAAAAGAAACCAAGGGTCAAAGAAGCAGGGCAGTCTTGGCAATACAGTTAAGTTTAACATATACTTTTTAAAAAGATGTTTAGAATAGAAATTCACAGTTTCATAAAATCCCTTCTCAGTGAATTGCATGTAGAAAAATTCTTTTTTTGTTGTCAATTTTGTAATTTAAAAATTTTTTCAGTTGGTGGAAATCTGTCTTTTCTCCCTCCCACTCCCCAATGAGAAAGAAAGCAATAAAGCCTCTGTTACAAGAAGTACTGTCAAGCAAAATAAATTCCCCCATTGGCCAAATCTTAATCTGCAATCTGACGCCCTAATCTGTCAGGAAGTGGGCAGCGTATTCCAACACTGAAATGTGAAATCGTGGTTGGCACTGATTGATCAAAATTCTAAAGTCCTTCAAAGTTGTCTGACTT